CAGAATCTAAGGAAAGAATCCAAGGATAAGGAGGGTCTAGAAGTGTACGGAATGTTGAAGGAAGGAATAGGGTTCAAGGATTACCTACATGGACCAATGGATGCAGGAACAAAGCTTAAGGTCAAATTCAGGACCGGGGACATAGGCGTTCGAGAACGTCGAAGACATAGGACGGGACGACGAAGACGACAAGTTCAAATGTGATTGCGGCTTCGAATGCGAAGACCGTGTTCATGTAGTAGCGGAATGTCCGTTGTACAAGAAGGAGAGGGAAGTGTACGTGACTGAGCTGGGAAAAATAGATAGGACGTACAGGGAGATGATTGAGGCATGGAATAGAGAGGAAAGGACAGTAGCTGTAGTGAGGCATAGGAGGTGGGTTGAAAAGGCGGCAAGTGATATCGGTAGGATAGACAGACTAGGGAAGACATTTTTGAGCCACCTTTGGCAAAGTAGAAAGGAACGATTGGCCATCGGTGATCGGTCCTGCGGGAACAATGCTCCGTCCTCTCGAGGACGCGTGGTCAATGGTCTAACCGCTAAGGCATGCAAAACATAATAGTACGCCCCCCCCCCGGCTTGTTGTCTTCGGACGATACACGAGCCATTTCCCCGAATCAAAGCGGAACACAGGACGAAAGTATTTCGTGGACGTACACAGCTCTCTGGCCGTAAAAACAACATGCCCCACGCCGACTTGCGTACATGAAAAGACAAGTCTTTGTTCCACAACCGCTGTTGATCGTCTCACCTCGGTGATGAGCTTGTTGACGAAGTACCCGAACAGGCAGAACCCGAGCGGGGGCGTGACCGCACCCAAGCTGCCCCCGGCCCCGCCCTGCTTCCCGCCAGCCCCGCTCTTCCCGTCCCGTGGAAGCTCCACCTCCGAGTCGTAGTCATCAACTTCCTCCGCCGGGTCGCCCTCATAGTTATCTCTCCCATCTCCTACCGCGGTTCCCCCTACATCCCCCCCCTCCAAGAGCTTCTCCTGCTGGTCCCCGTTGTTCAAGCCCGCCGCACCCGCCGCCGTCGAGCCGTAAGCGCCGGCACCGCCCCCGATGGCCGCGGTGAGCTTGCCCTTCTCGTCCGCCGCCGCCACCGCCGCTCGCTTCGTCAGCAGGCGGTCGTGGGTCGGGGTGTTGCTGGCGGAGCGGTCGAGCTCGTCGGACCCTAGGTCGGAGTTATCGCTCATGTAGTGAGGCGGCTCCTGGGGGGGAGGAGGAGGCGGGGAGCGGCAGAGAGAGAGAGAGAGAGAGAGAGAGAGAGAGAGAGAGAGAGCAGCGACGGCGGCGTTCGGCATTGGTATGGGTGAGTGGGCTTCGTGTTGTGTTGTATTGTGTTGGGGGGGGGAGGTCGCGTATGTGCGGGGCAAATCGAGAGTGCGGGGCAAGAGCACCCGGCAAGAGGTGGATTGACGGGGGAAGGCATCGTCGCGTCCAAGGAGGCCCAAAGAGGGGAAGGCAGGTGAGGTCGGAATCCACAGCAATTCTTCCTTTCACGATCTTGAAACAACCCTAGCGTCCCACACACAGTTGCAGGCGTTCAACGCACTGGTGCCCACACATTTATTCGTGTCTGATGTACACGACGGCATCCGTCAGCCGAGGCGGTGCAATACACAAAAGGCAGTACAACAGCAAGCCGTCCGTAAGGGACGAAACTTCTTGCAAGGCACTCGCTGCACTCTCTTATCGCAGATTGCCATCTGAACACCACGAAAGAATATGCCGTCCGCGCCGTCGAAAAACGTTATACATATACACCCTTGGAGTCGTCGCCGCCAAGTGTGCCTGCCGCGACAACGCACGCATACACAAACGCACCGCACCGGTGTTCCGGCCACACCCCGCCTACAACTCTCCGCCGCCGCGGCACCCACCTGAAACTCGTACTGGATAAGGGCACCCATGACCACCCACAAGACGAACATGATCCATCCCGGGTTGGTCAGCCCGTTGAACTCCACGCCGGCCAGGGTGAAGTCGACCGCGATCACAACCGCCGACACCGCCGGCCCGAAGGCCATGCCCAGGGCACCGGCCGCCACGAACGCGGCCGAGTAGGCGGTTCTGCGTGTACCGACCGCAGCAGCAGCAGCAGCAGCAGCAGCAGCAACAACAACAGCAGTGATTATCATGGAGTCGATTCAGCAGCAGCACCCCACCAAAAAAAAAAAAAAAAGCCAGACATCAGGAGGGGAACGCAAGCTTGATGTCGCGGTTTGGTTCGCCTGCCCCAAACGGAGGTACCAATGACAAACGCTCTTTCCTACAACAATGCAGACAGCCGCCACGCGCCCACGTAAGGTGCAGCGCTATCGGGGAATACTTGTTCGCAGGACACCAAATCATGAATCAATTCACCGCCAACACAAAACACCCTGCTTTGGGGAGACCAAGGCATGACTACCTCTGCTCCCCCCCCCCCCCCCCCCC